ACCCCAGACATGAGTCATAGTTACAATGCTTATTGAAAAGTGCTAAGTTAATTTATCATGAAATTAAAAATTAATTAAGGATTTAACTCTTCAATTTTTCACATATCTTCTGCTGCCCACTTTCTGTAGAAATCCTGATTAGCGCTCTTAGATGCCACTTTATCTGCCCATTTTCTCTCGTAACCATTAGACCTTTCTACACCATCCCACCGATGACCGGGCTCAATTCCAAATCTGTTTTAGGGACCAGGAAATTTGCATCTAGGAAGTAAGTATTGGTATTCACTAGCTGTCGTAATTACTCTATACATCTATTTAGTAATGCTAGACCTCATGTTCTTGCTTTGCAATAGTTTCAAAGGATCTCCAAATCTATCTTATTGCCTGAGTTCATTTTCAACTTATACATCCATTTCATGCTTTGCAAAAGGCTCCCTTTTTGCCTCCTCTATTTATTTCTTCAATTCTACTTTTTCTTGCATTTACTTAGCTCCTCCTTTCCACTATTTCAACTAATTTTCATTCGCTATTCTTAATCTGTCTTTTTCAGATAACATTTTATCCTTCATATCTACTTTTATACCTTCTTTATTTCTGTAAATTGTCTAATTTTACTTAAATCCTTCCTTGCCTATTTATTCCTAGAGCTGCTTATTTATTAAGGCATCTCTTTGTCTGTTGAATTCTTTGAGATCTTGAGCAGACTAAAGACCAGCTTTCTCCAACAATTTTGGCTTTTTATCACTTTATTCATTCTCAGATAAATCAACATCACCATCTATATAGGATTTACTAATAAAGAAATTTATACCTGAATCAATGTTGGCCCTTTTAGACTTGATAGGTTTTATATCATCTTAATCATCGCTTGATTCATCACTGCTATCATGTCTTCTTCGTTTCCTTCTTTATCTGCTATCATCACTATCAGAAGATGAACTGTTATTATCAGAAGAATTGATTCTTTTATTTCTTGCCTTGTGTTCTTTGTTTTTCCTTTCATTGCCTTGATTTTCCTTTTTGTTATTTATTACCCCTTAATCTTCAATAGTTTTCCAATTATTTTTTGGTTGTTGATTCTTTTATAAATTTCTTTGATTAATTAGCATTTATTTTTCAGCCTCTGTCAATCCTTATGCATTTTCAAGAATTAGCTAGAGCTCCTCATCCTCAGATTGTTCTTTTTCTTATTAAGGATCTCTCTCTTCAACAAAAGTTTTCTTTTGATAAGTAACTATTTATTAGCCTGAGTCATTTGAAATCTTTGGCATTTAATTTAGGACTTTTTATTTATTAACCTTTTGACTACTTATGACAATGATTTAATCTTCATCATCATTAAACATGCTTAATTTGTTTTACTTTGGAGGTTCATCTTGCTTTTAGATTTGTTTTAGTAAACGCTTTTTTAACTATTCCTTTTAAGAACTACCTTATCCTCCAGTATATTTCTTTAAATAATCAATTTTTGAAGACATTTTTAATAATAGTTTTTCCTGATAAAAATCAATTGAAGCTACCAGGGGTTTTGGGGTTTTGGGGTTTTGGGG